TTGCGCGAGTCGCAAGCGATTGGTCGCGGTATTCAACAAAAAACGTGAGTTTGTGTGTGGTGTGACCTCTCTTGGCCACCGTAGATGCGAGACCTGACAGGCACATGTTTCATGTACTTACCCATTTGTGGTGCTTAATATTAATTCTCCAAGTGTTGGAATAATAACTGGTGCATGAACCTGTCCACCCTGGGCTTTGGGTTCAAACTCACTTCTTCTTCTTTGAAGTTTATTGGAGATTTACAAACACGGTGCACTACCGCCACTGTCAGTTCGGGTGTGGTTTGTATTTTGACGGGACAGCAGTGGCCGCTGCGTGACGCGTCTGTTAGGTTTTGGTGTGGATACATGTGTGCTGCTGCGACGCTTGTGGACTGCTTCGCAAGTACTACGCGAACGCATCGTTTACAGTGTAAATGAGGCCTAAAGCTCACTTATACCCATTTTCCCAACATGTTATTACTCAGACCTTGTCACATATTGACTGTTGGTCATGGACTTTATGTGTCCAGATACGACGTAAAAGGTACCCAGGGTACGTTGTCTGCTGACGTTCTGGAACGCTGTGTCAAGTTCTGCCTGTTACATGCATTGCCTTCTTTCAAAATACACTTCCATTTTCACAGGAAATTTAACGTTTACATACACTCTCTTTCAAAATAAAAGCACTATGTCAGTACATCAGTGCAAAAGAAGTTTTATTTTTCCTTCAACAACTAACGCACATGGTTATATTTAGGAAAAAATTACAGGGTTTGGCGTTACAATGTTACAGGATGCAAACAACGCTACCCCAGATGAAAGTCGGTGTTTGTTAGACCCATCCACAACCCCTCTCGCCCACCCCACTCGAACTCTTACCACCTTAACTTTAGTTCTTGCCTTTCTGTGTTTTCCCCTGATGCCGCTGAGTGCTGTTAAACTATAACGGTGACCGGCCGTGTATCATGCCATTGTTAAAGGACGGCGATTTTTGTCAGTGTTAGACGCAGCGAGTCATTTTAACGACTTCGGAGTGAGACTGGGTTCCTTTTACACCAAAATTAGCTCATGTGCATTTTTTTAAGCACCGGTAAACCCTCTACAGACTCCCTTTCCATTGCCAGTAGATTAGAGCTGTGTGCACGGCTCTGTAGCAGATGAGCATGCCTTTCTGTGTGTGTTTTTATATTTTTGGTGTGTCACGTTTGATGTCAAGGACAGGGCGCAAAACAGGTCAGTGAAAACTTTACAGTGGTTACTTCTTCCTAAAAATCTCTTACTTATTCAGTCTTTCAAACTCAGTGCAGACGAAATTTGAACGATGTTTGAGTGCTGCTTGGGTGAAGACCGACGGTCATTTTGTGACAGTCTGTCGTTGCATCTTGCCGGTAAAGGAGCTAAAATTAGCGCATTCACTTTAGTGTCAATGCTGATCTGTACCAGAGCTGATAAATACCTGTGACTGCTGCAGAGTCATTTGACCCAAGTGTGATTGCCTATCAAAACCTTTTCCATTGCATTAAAAAGCCAAATGTAAGCCAGTGTTAGCATGTTTTTGTGCAGTGGGAAAGGGGCTTTTGTTTGTTTATGACAAGTTGTGGTTTTATGGCAGGTTGTGTGCTGGACTATTTCTTGTACACATGCAGTGACGAACTTAAAAGGTGCTTGTAGGTGGGATATTTCACCCTCTGAACCCACCATGCTAAGTGTTTCCAGTCTTTATGCTAAGCTATGCTAACTGTCTCGTGGCTGTAGCCTCATATTCAATGGGAAACAGGCATCCAACTTTCAGGAAGAAAGAACATATGCATATTTCTTCAAATGTCGTTGACACCTGCCAACTGTATCACCATGCAGAAGGAAGCATGCATCTACAGAAAGAGATGTTGCTGTTGCATTTTTCAGATGTAGTTTGTGGCTCTTTGGGCACCACAAGCTAAGTGCCATCTAGTTCCATTATATTAGAGAGAAGGCAGACATCTGTACGGCTGATATCTCCAATACTCTGCATCTCACACCAAAACAATGTAGATTTATAAATAGCTCTACAGGTAAGAGGAAAGATATGTGTTTTTGATTTTTGGGATGAACTGTCTCTTTAAGATTCATGAGTCCATGTCAGAGTTCTCCCAGGTTGATATTGCTCTCTGGTTAGAGGAGCAGAGAGATACACATATTAACCCCCCCACACCTACAGAGTCAAGATGTTAGACCACAGTTCTGGGGAACTGGGGAGCGGCAACTTCAGCAGCCCACAGCAGGCAAACGCTCAGACTCCAAACCACAACTGGCAAACGGAGCAGTGACATCAGCGTCTCTGCACCACATTTCAGTGCATTGCATATGAGCTGCATATGTACGGCACAATTGGAAACAGACGCGGCCAGACTGTTGGGTGCAGGGCGGTACAGGCAGCGTGCACTCTGCTGAACACAGGGAGCAACAGAGGGGTTGACCTTCAGTGATACTCAGCAGATGCCAGTAAGTCACAGGCCAAATCAAATGATATGCCTTTCCCAAACTACTGTACCATGGCAGTTACAGTATCTCACATCACTCCTGTTATTCTCTCACTTTTAACATGTCATGTTGTCCAAGGTCATAACCTCCAATTCATTCTATGGGCAAACTGTGTACAAGCAGCACAGGGAACTCAAACACCACCGCCTCTTTGGCTCTATTAAGTCATTATGGATGTTTTTCTCCATAAACTAGTGGCCCCAGGATATGTAACGTCAACAACTGGAACAATAGCTAGCTCCACAGGAAGGCAGATAACCATCAAGTAGGTAATTCAAAGTTAAGCTGACTTAATGTAAACATGATCATTATTGTTGCAGCTATTGCCAAGGGAACACCTTAACAACTGTGATCAGGCAAAGATGTATTTCAGTGGTCAGATACGAGGCAGTCCGCTCAAATGATTCCCACTGTGGGAATACACGAGCCTGGGCCGACAGAAGCTCACCGGCCTCTCTTAGTTCCAGGGGAATTCAGTTGTATGCAACATCTGTGTCAATATTATGGAGGTTTTAGGGTCCTCTGTTCTTTTTAAGAGGTGGAAAGGGAGTGCAGCTTTCAGCTCTGATGGCCTGCAGCCAGGCGGGTGTAAAGCAGGTTTTGGCAAACCCTTACAGGAACACCAGAACAAAAAGTGGACCAAAGTTTGATTAACTGCTGTGAATAGTAAGGACGTCGTAAATAAGGGCGTGGGTTTTGTTTTCAACACTGAGGGGGACACACATGAAACAGGCGGGTTTGAAGGTCCTCCGCCAAGAATTTTTCCTGCATTTTGTTGAATATTTATTCACCAATTTGAACCTTTTCTGCATCAATTAAAGAGCGCAGCGTGCAGGATGTAGAGGGTATACTGGCAGAAATTGACTACAGAGTACACAGATAAATGTGACACTTTCTAATGTCACAATGGAGGGACAACTACGCAGGTTGATTTTAGCGCTGCTCATCGTGGACTATATTGCTGTCATTGTTCATTTTAGTCAAACCATACAGTTTGAAAACGAGGCGCGGCTCCAACTAGAAAACAATGTTTTGATGCATTGGATGTGCTGAATGTGCATATTAAGGCAGTACAGGAGGAGGTGCACATTAATAATCCTCCAGGACTGTAACATGCTCATGTTTAAGCCAAACAATGTGTCATGTGACTGCAGTTGCTTCACATCCAGGTCGGAACACCTTCTCACCACAAACCAACCGCACCAGAGTTCCTTTGGAACCGGACTGAGACCACCTCTTCAAGAAGGTCTCGGTCCGGTTGTTTTGGTGTGTTCACACCTGCACAAACGAACCGCACTGAGGGGGCAAAAGAACTTGAGTTCGACTGAACTGAACCAAACAGGGCAGGTGTGAAAGCACCCTTAGAATGAGGGTCATCGTCTATGGAAAACATCATGCTGCACTGCCATGTTGCTACAGTACAGAACCAACAAACCAAACACTGGCTTTAGACAGAGCCATTTATGTTTCCACATCGACCACCAACATTACAAGTTTCTCTGCAAAGAGCAGTGTTGTAAAGCGTTTAAAGGATTTTTAAGCATTTTCTTTTGTGTATTCATCAGTTTAAATCACCTTGCCTGTGTGCTTGGGGGGGACAAATGCACATGTTCAAAATATTGAGGGGCCTGTCCCCTGCGTCCTCCCCAATACACCTGCGGTCATACACAAATAATGAATACTGAATAATGTTCTGCAGCATAAACCCTGTGAAGCAAATTGTAGCAGATTTTTGTAATTTTTTGCTTGAAATTGCCTTAAATATTAGCCTAATCAAAATGGCAGTTGTTGATTAATTTTCTGCCAGTTATTAAAGATTACCTGCTTAATACTTGACCACCTGTTGAAGCTCTGCATACGTTAACAGAAAAAAGAGTCCATTTGGGAGGGCTGAATGATACATCAAAGTGTTAAAATACTTATATTTTATTTTATTTGCACAGGGATGTCAAGTGGGGGGGAAGTGGGACTGATTACCCAGGGCCCCAGTAGAGAGGGGGGGCCCTTGAAAAACCTGGAAAAAAATCAATGTAATGAATAAATGTTCAGACAGGGAAGTTGGGGTTCCAAAACAGAAAGAAGAAATGAAAGAAAGCAAACTGACTTCGATAAAGAAATTTTCAAAAGACATGTATAAAAAGCCCGGTCTCACTTTGACGTTGTTGAAATCTGGTGCTTGGGAGGTGACTTGCAGTGTCAGACACTGACGATAAAAGCCATCCTTTAACGTTGGTGTGATACACAGCTGGTTGCCTTTATAGTTTAATGGTGCTCATGTGGCGGGTCAAGAATGAAAGTTAAGGCGATGAAAGTCTGAGACTTTCACCTGGGGGAGGAGTGTTTACTTTGCGTCCTGTTAGATTGTTAAACTCTGTTATTTTTCCTAAACCTGACCACGTGCTTTAGTTGTTGGAGGAAAAAAATCTATTTGCATTGTTGTACTGACGTGTGTTTATTTTGCAAGAGATTACTTCTGCACAGGGCCCAGAGTGTGGTGCTACGCCCCTGCCTGTGTATATGCCACACACACACAGTCCAAGACCCAAGACATATAACTGGAGAAGTGTGGAGGTGATGGTCATCATACACACATTATTAGACTATTTGCAAGTGATCAACCGTCATAAGTGGACATCAATCATCCTGATTGCAGCCACAGTGATTACAGAATGTAGATTATATAATAATTGAATCCCTGATGGACAGACAGACAGACTGCATGAGTTTGATTACTTTGTCTCGAAACACTGAGAGTGAAGTGACCTTATCGCTGAGCAGCATCCAGCTGCCTCCCCGCTGGAGAAGAGGGATGTTTCCTCAGTGCTGCGCTGCTGTGGTGTAGAGGGGCTGTTCCCTCAGCAGATCCCAGCTCAGTCCGTCCAGAGCAGCGGCGGGGATGAGCGCTGGGGACTAGGCGGCAACGCAACGACGCATTTCACAGGTAAGACTGGCTCCAGGTCGAGCGACGCACTGTCTTTAAACACAGGCTTTGGCTGGGGGTGGTTTTCTTCATATTTCCCGTCCCGTGCGGTGGCCAGAGGAGGCGATCCGCAGCTGTGAGGACTACACAGAGGTTGAGAGTCGCATCTGCGCTGCGTTCAACATTTCCAGCGGTCCCTCAACTTGCAGCCCAGCCAGCTACCTCGGCGCTCTCCTGTCCGGCTGTCCCTGCCTCCTGTGCCGGGGATTAGAGGGATTTAGGACCAGACTGTGGCACTTTCAGGCGGCGACAATAGAAGGTGAACGACTGAGAGGATGGCGCTGTTTATTTTTTAACTTGAAGCGTGTGCGGGGGCGACTGGCACTATGTGCGGACGCGCTCCGATCAGCTGAAGGTTAAAGATTGCTGATGGAGCTAGCCAGGCTAGCGCTAGCTCCGCTCAGAGCCGTCCTCTCTCCTCTGGGCCAAAGTCCGTACAAATTACGCAGTTTTATAATGTCCTCGCATCCCAGCAGAAATGTATATGCAGAAGAACACTAATTAGGGACTTAAGTGAAATAATGCCACCATGGCTTGTATTCGGCATGCATTCACTGTTACTCCAAACAGCTTTACTTGTGTATACATTTTTAACTTGTAGAATTGCTGTGCTTTAAATGTTCTCAGTGGGATTCCTCCCACAGTGTGCTGTGATGGGCGACACTGAGCAGCTGGAGTTATAAAACAGAGCTGCTGTTGTAATACAGTCTGAATAATGGGTCATGTATGGGCCGAATTTAACAAGGACCTCCACTGATCTGTCTAAGGTCTTAAGTGTTGTCAAACAGGTAGGCATTTATTCCTTACTCTAAAGAAATCTTAAACAGACAGATGTTTTAATTGAATTTGGCGTGGTATCCTAAATGCATCCGTGAACTGCGCGCATCAGGGCTAGGCTAGTATGCTACGGCTGCAACCTGCACCAGAACCAGCGGAGGCTAGCGTCATGCCAAGCCTGTCAATCATTTCGTAACGACATGATGACAACACTCGGGTCCGGCACCGTGTAGCTCTCGGTTCTGCTCGGGTGCTCAGGAGCACCAAATGGCGATGGAAATGAGCTGCGGATAGCCCTTGGCAAATGGTATGCCAAGTTTAGGCTGCTTTGATGTTTGCATGTTGTCACTTTGTCACACCTGCTGTTTGCATGATGGTGATGGCTGCTGCTTGACCTCTCTTCTCCTTCCCCCATGCAGCCTCCTGCACGCACCGCCTCACAACCTCGCATGCATCTGCTGTCAGAGCAGCCATCCTGCTGTCAGTTGGCACAAATGGGTAAATAATGTTATGCGCCTTTGATTTACGTTTTAATATTGAACGCTGGGCTTAAAAGGTTTTTACAGCGTAGTTATATTTAATAGCCTACAAGACTGGATGGATAAAACACTGCTCTGCTCTTAACTCACACCCCAAATTATGTCACAGTGTTCACAATTGCTTAATGGCTTTAATTTTAGAAGGTCTTGCACATAAATTGTTACTGTCACTTAGGGACCTCTAGAGGCCAGATTGTCAAAGCCAAGATTTCACCTGACCTGTTCAAGTTCAACATTATGCCATCATCTATGTGTTCGTGTACTTTTCCTATTTTATCCCAACTTCTTATCTGGGCCGGTCTGTCACAGCCTGAGGTCTGATTATTTTAGGTCTTATAGTATTTATGGAGTACTATTAACATTGCCCCGGAGTGATCTGTTCCTTCTTGCCAAGACCTTTCATAGCTCAGTGAGCTTACATCAAAAGCTGTTAGTAAATGTCAGTAAAGAAGCATTTTCCTGACGGTGCGCAGGATTTGTAGATAACAGCAGCTGATGACTTGAAAAGACAAAAACACTGCAAAACACAGACCAGCGCCGGCTAATGTGCATTTTAACAGAGGGAGAGTAAGAGAAATTTTAAGTGTGTGTGCGTAGGCGCATGTGTGTTATGTGGTGGGTCTTTCACACATCCTTGAGACTGGGATGGTGTGTGAACACAAGGCCCTGCTAGATGCCCTGAGGGGGGTGAGGTATGGTGGGACGGGGAGTGTATTAAGAAGGGAAGCAGCTCATTAATTCCTTCCAGCAGCGTAGGAAAGGGTTGGTCAGCGAAACTGGAGGGGCCCTCCACGGCTATGAAATGAGTCATACCAGTTCAACTTTCAGGAGTGGTCCAAACAGCCAGCGATAAGTGTGGGCTGGGTTAGTTTCCTCGTGTTGCAGGCAGTCTGGTTAACCCACGGGTACACTTTCCCTTTCCAGTAATCGTGCGTGTGCGTGCAGTAGTTGCTTTAGCAGCTCTGACAGACTCCTTCACTCTCTGTTTGTCTTCAGTTTTTATTTCTAGGCCATCAAGAAAATGAGTTTCTCTGCCATTGGGTAGCTACAGCCAAAGCCTTTGAAAGTCATCTGCCCGGCTACAGGGATCCCCTCGGAGGTCCTGCCTGATGTCACATGTGATGTCAGAGCAGAGGTGACGCAGGCAGGAGGAAGGAGGATGGTGGATGAAGCCAGCCAGAAATGTGTGAAAGCTACTGACATCTGCCAGCGTGCCTCTCAGAGTGAGAACGCAGGCCAGTGAATGTGAGGCAATGTAACGGCAGGCACGCCAGTGTATATACTATTATGTTCCGAGCTGGATGCTGGCCGCTTGATGTTTGTACGTTTGGCAGATGCCTGCTTTGTGATTTCTGTGTGTCACTCCTGTGCCGGTGCGGTGATGAAGCCCTTGAGATAACCCTGAGCATTCATTTTCATGTGTTTACATCGCACTTTTCTACATCCACCAGGCCATCCATCATGACAACACGTTACTTACATTGCGGGGGAGAGCCTTTTCATCCCACCTGTAATCTGCATCACAGTCATCTGTCAACATAATTCTGCTGTTGCCACGTCCTGTCAGCTGTCTTTAAACATCACACTCCTCATGCGCCTAAGACGTCTTGACAAGGCACAGTCTCTTGCATCGGTGAAATGTATTTATGTTGGGTTGTTTATTACCTTTCCTGCTATAATACTGTGCAAGAAGCATGCAGAGTCCATCTGATTAGCAGGAAGCCAGAGCGTGCTAACTCTTTGATCACTGTGTTTCTGGCTGATAAACCATGCCACTGTCATCTCTAGCGAGCCCTGGACCTTGACAGACACTAATTACCATGAAGCCAGTTTGGCATGCTCAGAAACAGCATGGGTTGGGAATAGTTCAGTGCAGGTGAAGCCCACTGTGCCGCAGAACAGTGCCTCGGTGGATTAGCGTGCCTAATAACCTCTCCTTTATGTTTTGTTTTTGATCCTCATATGAAATGATAATTTTCAGCTGTTGGCATGAGCTGTGGTGTTTTGGATCAAATGCATAGCCCTGAATCTCCCTGCACGTGAGTGTTGGACGCATTCGGTTGAAGGAAATCTCATGACGTCAAAGCGCTGCATCTCAGCTGAACTGAGCTAAGCCTGCGATACAATGGCAAAATGAGTCCATTGATATAATAACCCTCACATCGTCAGTGTCTTGCTGGTGCACGGCTTTGCCTTGTGCATTAATGAGCTATTAGCTATACTGGTCTTGTGCGTGAGCCAGTTATTATTGAAAATTTTCTTTGGATTGAAACACTGATACTGCAGCAGACAAATGTTTGGCTGGACTACTTTTTGGCTGTCTGAAATGAATCAGAACCAGACCGTACTGTTTCAGACTGTGATGTGTTGGAATATGGTGGAATAAAAACACCCCCCAACACACACACACACACACACACACACACGCTCCCCGTCCCATCCTGCCTTTGATTTCGCTGCCAGTGAGTCTGACTGTAATAAGTTTTGGACTGAAGCAATGCAGCGGGAATATCTTAGCAGCCCACATGCTATTGTCTGTGAGCTGCCATTCACAAAAGCAAAACAACTGTTGCCATGGGATATGCTCAACAAAATAATGTGAGTGGGTGTTTTTTTGGCTAAACCTTTCCGCATGAGCTAATTGACTCACAATGCACAGGCCCTGCCTGTTTCTACTCTCTCTATGAGGAGGGCGTAGATGCTACAGAAAGCACATGGGTTGCAACGTGGTGATGAGTTCTCCTTTGTGATGGCTAGTGAAGTGTTTTTGTTTTTACACATCATTTAAACAGATGTTCAATGGTTAGTTTACAAACCTGTTGTAGAGATCATCCTTAAAAGAATACTTCACATGCAGAATAATCATTTGCATATGAATTACTCACAGCATGTTACCTTGAATTCACTAAGAAAAGTTGGTTTTTCAAACATGTCTCCTTGGTGAACAAAGAATCCAAAAAAGGCGAACGTAAACGCGTTTATGAGACACAAAGAACTGATCTTTTGCTAAGCCCCGCCCCTTTGTGGTGGTCCAACAAGCTGTCAGGTAAAAATGGAGCCCACACTGTAACTAACTGCACTCCCTGAAGAAATATGATCATATTTTTGGAGAAATGAAAGAGTGATTCCAGAGAGAAGCAGACAGATGGGTCTACAGTCTGTGTTTGAAGGATATATCCAGGATGTCAAACTGACTCAGCAGCAACAACAGGTTAAAAAGACAAAGCTAGTTAGAAGCTAAAGCCGAACTATAGGCTACAGATCACAGTGTAAAAGTGAACCACCACATCACTGCTGATCGCCACACAAGACAATGAATATAAAGGGAAACTTTGCTTATATTGAACCAGCTGTGTGGCATCGCAGTGTGTGCACATGAACAGTGTTTGGCTTCGGATCTCTAGGGGAAGTCAAACAACGTTCATCTGCGCACACTGTGATGCCACACAGCTGGTTGAATCTCAGCAAAGTCTCCCTGCTTCCCTTCACTGGTTCCTGTACAGCAGGGTCGGTCTTTGTTTCACTGTTATAATCATTACAAAGCAAAAGCAGCATGTGTATACATTCAGTAGGCTATATCTTCAGTAGCTAGCTAGCTAACCCTACACTTTTCAGGGTCTGATTTTGGTTTTGGAACAGGGAAGAAACGTATATCTTTTTCCAACCTCTCCAGGTAACTAGTATCATTAATACACGACGTGCCCCAGGCACAACATTTAGCTCCAAATCCACAAAACCAGCCTGAAAATGAAGGAAATCTGAAACGACTGCATTAGAGTCAATGGAGCACAGCTGCGTTGGTGTCGGACCCTGGTCTGAGACGTCCCGATGCTACGTTATGATTGGCCAGTCTGCGTCTGGGGGTCAGTTAGCGCCTCATGGCTGATGTTACGTACACAAAGTCACATAGGTTAGGTTTAGGAAAAGAAACATGTGACTCTTCCCTAAAATAAGTCAGAGTTCGCTTGGTTTCTCACTGTCCCAAACATCGGGCTCCTTGGGGAAAGTCCTGTGTTGTTTGACCCACCAACCACCCCAACCTACCTCCTTATGCAGACTTTCGGTCTTTATGCTACTTCCTGTTTTACTCCCGTCAGCGCATTGGTTGCAGGATTGCAGCCTTTCTGATGATGTGGGTTATATTTGAATTGTGGTATATAAACGTACGACTTGATAACTGAGACTTGGATAATACTGAACGAGTTGTTTGAGAGTTTGTGAATGAATGTTTCCATATTGTTTTGCTGACCCTGTTTACTTTAATTCCTGAAGAATGTTTGCCTTTTTTGGATTCTTCGTTCACCATGGAGCCATGCAAAAAACTAATGCAACATGATACATGATGAGTAATTCATATACAAATGGTCATTTTGCAGGTTTAATTTGTCATTGTCACAATAGGTCATAATCGCCCTAAACTATAGTTGCATGGCTCCTGAGCCCAGTGGGATTTTTCTGATGGATGGCGAGTGTCCAGAGGGCAGATAGCTCCCCAGATAATATGCCCACTTTTTATGTTGCTGAGTTACAGTCTACCTGAAGTGGAGAACATTGTGCTTTCTAGAGGTCAGGGTGGGTAAAATATGGCCCGAGGTTGTTTGGCTGTTTATTCCTCCGGCCGCAGCCAAAAACAGGCCTCCAACTTCTTTCCCCGGGACAAACAGGAGCTCACACAGAGCCTGATTGGAAACATTTGCGACACTGTCGGCTCTCCTCCGTCCCCACAACTACGCACTTCCTCAGGAAGAGAGACGGCCCCTCCGCTGGACACAGTGATGTCACATAGATAAACAATCTGCGGACCGTTGCTGTTTGCTGAATGTGATGGGCTGTCATCCCTGAGAAATCCCTGTGCGTGCACAGTCCTAACAGATGCAGGCCAGAGACTAGCCAAGAACACACCCACTCGGGTCAGTTGTTATAGATCCAAGGAGACTGGGAACAATGTGGTAGAGAGGT